ATATATATATATATATATATATATATATATATATATATATATATATATATATATATATATATATATATATATATATATATATATATATATATATATATATATATATATATATATATATATATATATATATATATATATATATATATATATATATATATATATATATATATATATATATATATATATATATATATATATATATATATATATATATATATATATATATATATATATATATATATATATATATATATATATATATATATATATATATATATATATATATATATATATATATATATATATATATATATATATATATATATATATATATATATATATATATATATATATATATATATATATATATATATATATATATATATATATATATATATATATATATATATATATATATATATATATATATATATATATATATATATATATATATATATATATATATATATATATATATATATATATATATATATATATATATATATATATATATATATATATATATATATATATATATATATATATATATATATATATATATATATATATATATATATATATATATATATATATATATATATATATATATATATATATATATATATATATATATATATATATATATATATATATATATATATATATATATATATATATATATATATATATATATATATATATATATATATATATATATATATATATATATATATATATATATATATATATATATATATATATATATATATATATATATATATATATATATATATATATATATATATATATATATATATATATATATATATATATATATATATATATATATATATATATATATATATATATATATATATATATATATATATATATATATATATATATATATATATATATATATATATATATATATATATATATATATATATATATATATATGAGTATAAATCCTGACATGACATTACATTAAAAAAGATGTTATGATAATATCAATATTACCAACAGTGATTCATTCTTAAAGAGATGACGCATCCAACCCCGTTTTCGATGTCTAAAACCGACAGGAGGTTTGCAGTCATATCCAATCCCCCCCCCCCCTCCCAACCTCCCTCATTCGGCATTATCCAAGCACATTGATTCGTTCTAACTATTAACCATTAACCTACGACAACTTTGATGCGGGGAATCGGAATGGATCACTCGGCGTTTGCGATTATGACGAAAGTGTGTGTTGACTTTCAAGATAGATAGATGGATAGATGTATGAATAGAGAGATAAACAAACAAACAGACAGCCAGATGTAGATAGTGTGTGTGTGTGTGTGTGTGTGTGTGTGTGTGTGTGTGTGTGTGTTAACAGACAGGCAGACAGATATGTGTATGTATAAATATTTCTATATAACTTTTTTCTTTCTATCTTTCTTTTTTCTTTGTTCTTTTCTTTTCCTTTTTTCTTTTCTTTTTTCTTTTTCTTTTTTTTGAGAGAGAGAGGGAGAGAGGGAGAGAGAGAGAGAGAGAGAGAGAGAGAGAGAGAGAGAGAGAGAGAGAGAGAGAGAGAGAGAGAGAGAGAGAGAGAGAGAGAGAGAGAGAGAGAAACAGACAAACAAACAAATAGAAAGGAAGAGAGTAGCGGTACATACAAACACCAAAAATGAATCAGTTTTAATGCAAAAGCAGACACGATGTTGCATAAACAGTCATGAATTATTAAGTAAAAATATGCCCGATGCTGTGGCGTTTTCAAGAGTTTACCAAATAGGGGAATATAAGTAGAAAGAAAGAGAACTAAAAAGGTGCGTCCAAATGTAAATAGATATACACTGTGTACATCTACCAATGAAAGTATACCTGACAATATATATCACATAATATGATAATCATTCATATACTTATCAGTATGTAAACTTTCTTATAAAATATACAGAAGTAAAGGTATAAATATTCACGGCGAAAAAAACAAACAAACAAAAAAGACGTTAACTATGAGCATTTGAAAGACGATTAAAAATAGCATAAGACTGCAATTTGAACCTCGAGAATAGGAAAACCAAATTACTTCCGCTTCTCCTGAAAACTAAAATAACAATGATAATGATGATGGTGGGAATAGTAATGATAATAACAATGATAATAAGATGATGATGATGATATTAATGCTAATGGTAATAATAACAATAATGATAGGAGGATGATGATTATAATAATCATCAATAATAATAATAACTATTCTGATAACAATAATAATGACAACGCTAATGAGAATAACAACAAAAAATAATGATAAAAAATGCAGAAAGAGTCAAATAGAGAAAGTCAGAAAGGAGGCAGAGAGCGCCAGTACAACAGGAAATCGCGCTAATAATTCGACAAAAGGCCTTTCATTGGCTTGGAGAACCAGTAACATATTTAAACAGAGTAGCAGTTTTGTTTGATGCCCAAATATTATTATCACTTTTAGTCGCCACCTTATCATTAGTCAGTATCCTTATTGCTAAATGATTATTATCATAGTCGTCCTTTTAGAATTATTATGGTGGTGATGGTACTAATGATGATGATGATGATGATGATGATGATGATGATGATGATGATGATGATAATAATAATAACAATAATGATAATCATCATTGTTATTATTATTATTATTATTATTATTATTATTATTATTATTATTATTATCATTATTATTATCATTATTATTATTATTATTATTATTATTATTATCATTATTATTATTATTATTATTATTATTATTATTATCACTATCATTATTATCATTATTATTATTATCAATATTGTTATTATGATTATTATTATTACTATCATCATTATTATCATCATCATTATCTTATTATTATCACAGTTATTATTATTATATATAATAGTAATAATAATGATGACGATAATAAAAATAATGATGATGATAAGTATCATAATAATAGAAAATAACGATGATGATAGTAATAATAATAATAATAATAATAATAATAGTAATAATAATAATAATAATCGTAATAATAATAATAATAATAATAATAACAGTAATGAATATAATAATAATAATAATAATAATAATAATAATAATAATAATAATGATAATAATAATAAATAACAACAATAATGATAATAGTGATGACGATGATGATGATTATAACATTAAAAATATCAATATCAATAATAATGAAAATAATAATAATAACAATAACAATAATAATAATGATAATAATGATAATAATAATAATAATAATAATAATAATAATAATAATAATAATAATAATAATAATAACGATAAGAAACAATGAACAGCATTTTGAGCATATCATAACTGGGGACTGATCTGCAATCCCAGAATTTCAGTACAAACCACTTTTATCGACGATGGTTGTTGTTAAAAAAGACGATAGTAGATGATATTAAACGGTGGTAGGAGACGGTAGATGATACCAAACGATGGTAGACGATGGCAGGTGATACCAAACGATGGTAGACGATACTAAACTTTGGTAGACGATGGCAGGTGATACCAAACGATGGCAGATGATGCTAAACGCTGAAAGACGATGGTAGGTGATTGTATGCAACGGTAGAGGGAGGGTAGAGTTCTGTGTGGTGGCAAGTGTGTGGTTCTGCCTCCGTTGCCACTGACTCACTGTGGCAATTTGGCGCCCTTGGGTGGGGAAGGGAGGGGGGGGGGTGTAAGAATGAAAGGGAATATGGGGTAGGGGGTAGGGGGTAAAGCGGGGGTAGGGGGAGGGTATGGAGAGGAGATAGGAGGAGGGTATTAATGGAAGGGGGGGGGGAGGGGAGAGTGCAAAGAGGAGACAGGGGGGAGTGGTAAAAATGGAAGAGGAGTAGGAAGTAGGGTAGGAAGAGGTAGAGAGACGGTAAGAATGGAAGAGATAGAAGAAAAGGGATTGAGAAGAAGGTAGGGGGAGGGATAGGAAGGAAGAATGTAAATAGGAGGTGATTGGCAGAGGGATAAAAGTGGAAAGAGGTAAGAGGAAGGATGCAAAGAGAAGGTAGGGAGATGGGAAAAAAATGGAAGGGGTAAAGGAGAGGTGTGTAAAGGGTAGGAGGATGAGGGAGGGATAAGGATGGAAGGGGTAAGGAAGATAGGTGAAAGGATAGGAAGAAAGGGGGGAATGGTAAGAATAGGAGGAGAGAGGAGGGGGCGCGTAAGTATGGGACATTGGAGGGGGGGGGGAGGGAATGGTGTAAAAGGGAGGGTGTTAAGGATAGAGGAAGGAGAAGGAATAAGGGTGGAAGAGGAAACGGAGAGAGAGGAGAGAAATAGGGGTTGGTGAAAAGGGGAAGCTGTAAGGAGGGGAAGGGAAGAGGAACGGTTAAAGGGGGTAGGAAAAGGGAGAAAAGAAATGAGGGAGGAGAGATGAGGGAAAGGACAGGAAAGTAGAGAGTAAACGGGGAGAGAGGATGGAACGGATAGGAGATAAGGGAGAAGGGAGAGAGAGAATACGAAAAGGGTAAGAAGAAAAGAGATAGGAGAAGACGGAACGAGAAAGGAGGGAATGACATGTAAATGGAAATAAATTCTGCATTGTCACCACCTCAACATACTGTCAATGTGGTAACAGTGACTGAAAACAGTGCATTATGAGAGTACTAATAATAATTTTCTCACTATTGATGTTAATTTTGGTAACTGCAGCTACGCTAATTACTAGTATTGAGTGATCTGATTTTAAAATAAACAGTGAAAAAAAAATCACTTGAAGTAATTTTACCCCATCACTCTCTAACTTATCCATATATTTTAAAGTAAACAGTGAAAAAAAATCACTTGAAGTCATTTTACCCCATCACTCTCTAACTTACCCATATATTTTAAAGTAAACAGTGAAGAAAAAACTTGAAGTAATTTTACCCCATCACTCTCTAACTTACCCATATATTTTAAAGTAAATAGCGTAGAAAAAAAAAAATATATATATCACTTTAAGTAATTTTACCCCATCACTCTCTAACCCCCTGTGACGTCACGGCTACCTCGAAGGACTTTGTAAACAAAAACAAATCTAGTCCGTCTGCTCCCAGGGCCTCGGGATTCGTGTTTTTCCTTGATTTAAACGCGCCACTGAGCATTTAGGTGATTATTTAAGGTGATTTGGAGATATCTGATAAATGAGATTTCATTGTAGATGCATTGAAAGTATAAGAATATGGAGTTTGAGAGATTAAATAGGTTTTGTGATAGATCATAGGATTCTTTTCAACGTCTTACCCTCTTCCTTCCTCTTCTTTACACCTTTCTTCCTACTCCCCTTCCATTTTTTTCCATCTCCCTACCTTCTCTTTGCATCCTTCCTCCTACCTCCTTCCACTCTTATCCCTCTCCCAATCACCTCCTATTTACACTCTTCCTTCCTATCCGTCCCCCTACCTTCTTCTCAATCCTTCTTCTGTTTCTTCCATTCTTACCCTCTTCCTACCTCTTCTTTACCACCCTTCTTCCTACTCCCCTTCCATTTTTACCACTCCCCCCCCCTGCCTCCTCTTTGCAGTCTCCCCTTCCCCCCCTTTCATTATTACCCTCCTCCTATCTCCTCTCCATACCCTCCCCCTACCCCCACTTTACCCCCTACCCCCCTACCCCATGCTCCCTTCCATTCTTACGCCCCCCCCTTCCCAACCCAAGGGCGCCAAATTGTAAAATAGGAAATTCCAGTTGTGAATTGTGCCATAGAATTGATGCTTATTAAACCTTCACCTCGTATGTTCTGGCAGGACAGAGCGCCGGGTAATTATCTGGTTCTCGTGCCAATAATTTCTTACTTTGACCATTTAATTCAGAATTGCCAGTCTGCCAGTCATCAGGATTCTCGTCGTCGCTCTTGGCAGAAATAATGGCCACAATTCGTCGCTCCTTTTCGTTATTGTATTGATATGTTGTATATTAAAGGCGAAACAGTTTTTCCAGCACCTTATACGCAGCCTAACCACTTATTTGAATTTCATCTGACTTTCCCTGGCTCTAGCTTCTATACATACATGGCCATAGATGTGTGTTTATTTATTTTAGTTCTTATTGGCTCTAATAGACAGGTTGCTAGTGTCTATTGTCATATCACGGCCAAGTATGATTCCCGTTGGCTCATTTGATTTCCATTCCACATTTCATTTGCTACAGTTATTTTGTCGCTTCCTTGATTTTGTGTCATTTTTTGTTGGTGTTGTACTTACCATGCAGCACCCTGAAATTTTGAGTTTTACATCCTCTCTACTACTATTATTGTTACTTTGTGAAAGAAATGTTATAAAAGGAAAGTGTCATAGAAAGTTACGTTCTATGGGATGGCAGGTCAGATTCTTCAGTTTCAGTATTAGGTGTCATTTCCATTAATACTGAATGCTTAGTTTAAATCTTGATGATGAGGTTCATTTCTTTTTATCATTTATCTTTGCTCTTTATCGCATATTAATCAAAGTTCTTAAGCATATGGATATGTTACCCACAGAGGAGTTATTTATCCAATGATCTGTGTTGCATATTACCTCTTTCATGGTATGCATTTTGTATATTAAATTAATGAAGTTGGGTTATTTTGATTTTGAAAGAGTTATTCATTATATGCATAAGATGTATGACCATGAAAGGCTTAGCTGGATGAGATAAGGGAATGGGCAGAATAGGCAGACAAACAAGCAGAAATTTAAGTTATTTTAGTATTTCTTTCCAGTGAGTGTGCGTATGTGTGCATACATGCATGCATGTATGCATGCAATTACCAGTGCTGCTTGTAGATACAAGGTAGATAATACACGCAGGCACACGCATGCATGCACACGCACACACACACTCACACACATGCACGCCTACACTCACACACATGCACGCCTACACTCACACACATGCACACTCACGCTAACACATGCACATGCACGCTCACGCTCGCACATGCACACTCACACACATGCACACACATACACACGCACGCGCACATGCACACGCACACGCACACGCACACATACATGTGTGTATATATATGTGTATATGTGTGTATATTTTTATGTCAGAATGAATATATGTATGTCTGTATGTATGTACATATAAGTGTACATTTAACTATATATTTAAGTATAAATGTATGCATATATGTATACATATATGTGTATGTATATGTAGATTGATTGATTGATTGATTGATAGTTAGATTAATAGACTGGCAGATAGTACATGTACATGTATGTTTACATTTATATTTACATTTACATTTATTTATATTTATATTTACATAAATGTAACTGTATGTTTACATGTACAGTTACATATACATATGTATACACATATATGTACATACACCCAATTATGCATAATGCCTAGATTTCGGACCACGTGCAAGCAGCAAGGCACCTGGATCCAACGGGATAATGTTTATTTATCACTTTTGAACTCTATGTTCAAGGAGAAAAAATCTAAAGTTTTTAAATTATACTGGAATTGGTCACACCTTTTTTTTTTTTTATCATTAGGAAACATTAACATAATAGTACATAAAATGTGGCTTTCAGATAAGTAATGATTGAAGATGAAACAAATGTATTACTTTTTGACATATCCCCGTGTTCCATTATATATATATATATTGTAGATAATGTTATTGAGAAATGTGTTGCTATATAAGTAATGATGTGAGTTTTATAGATATAGATAAATTTGTAAATAGATAGATAAATAGATTGATAGATTAATAGATAGATAGATAAATAGTTAGATAGATAGATAGATAGATAGATAGATAGATAGATAGATAGATAGATAGATAGATAGATAAATAAATAGTTAGATAGACAGATTGATATATAGATAGATAGATCAATGAAATTTTGATAGCAGCAGTATGTTGCATGCATGTTATGGTGCCAGGTGTATAAATATGGTTATGTATTTGTAAGTGAATTTTCAGTCATATCACTATGTATATATATTTTTTTCTCATCCATTGCTGGCTTTCAGTGTGAAGTGTTCCTATTGGGCCTTCATGTTGTAATGTCTGAGAGTAGTAGTTCACCGGAGAGCCCTGTCGTCATCGGAAAAATGGACCACAAACGCCACCGCTACCCGTGCTGCATTGTCTGGACTCCTCTACCACTTCTCTCGTATGTTGACTCATGGATGGATGGATGTTATTTTTATTTTTATTTTTTCTCTTTTTCCCCCCTTTTTTCTGTTTTACTTTGTTGTATATACCTTTGGAAAATGTGTAGATTTTCTATAATGAATCTACACCAAACCATTCCAGATGGTTCATACCCATCATTGGTCACATGGGCATTGCAACAACATCAGGTGTGATCCGTGACTTTGCTGGGCCATACTTTGTGTCAGAGGATAACATGGCCTTTGGCTGGCCGACAAAGTACTGGCCAATGGATCCCTACAGAGCTCAGGGAGGGCCAACTGCTTGGGACAGGGGCGTCTCCCTGGCGTCAGAGGAATACCAGGGCAGAATGGTGAGTTGTCTGCTTTGGTTTTCTGAAATAGTAATGAAAGTGTTTCATAGGATGATAATGGTTTATTTACTGTTTCAGTTATCTTCTGAAGTGATATTCAATGAGTTCCATTGAAAGAAATCGACAGATGAATTTGTGTGGGTTGAAAAAATGGTTTTATCTCATTGCTTATGGGGATTGGTGGTTTTAATGTTAAAACCTGATGTAAAAGGCTGTAGATATATATTGGCATTGTTTTATATATGTTATTTGTTAGAGTCAGATCACATCAATATACCATCAAAATCATTTTGGAGGTGATTGATTATGTGAAGTATCATTTTTCCTTTTACATATTAATGATGTTCCTTTAGTATGTCTGAAAATACCTCCCACAGGAATAGTAAGATCATCCTAACTTGGTATTCTCATATTTCAAAAGATGTGAAATAATATATATGCACGTTGCTTAATTTTTTTTCTGTGATCTTAATGAAACACAAATCGACTTCACCTTCCAGCACAACCTGTTCTGCGACAACTGCCACTCCCACGTCGCCATGGCACTGAACCTCATGCATTATGATGGCTCTACCAGATGGAACATGGTTAAGCTGTGTTTCCTCATGATGATCCACAGTAAATATGTCAGGTCAGTTGGGAGAAAATCTTTGCAAATCATTCATAGTTTGACTAACATTTTGTACTTTTTATTGGTATTTGCAGGGTATTATTGTCTATGTGCTCTAGAATTTTCTTTTGGTGTGGAATAGATAAAAGGCTTTAGAATTTTTAAATTCTTTCTTCAGTTTGTTGCAACATGATTTATATTCTCAAAGAGAAGTGGGTTATTGCACAAAAAAGAGAGAATGCTTCTGGCACATTCACTTCTGGTGTGTTGGTATATGTAAATTCTTATATGGAATAATTTTTTTATCCTCCTTGATCTTGCACAGTTTCTGGGCCTTCATCAAGACCTGGCTGCCCTTCCTCCTGATGGCTGGAGCTGTGACAGCTCTGGTGCTTCTTGTTTAAACATTACGCAAGATGCCAAGGGACTCATCCGTCCTCGTAGATGCACACTGAAGGAGGGCATCGTTCACCATTCGTTCTGGCGCAGTTGGGCATGCATTCAGATGGAGACGTTTCATGATGATGAGTATTGTTTTAGTGAGTAAAATCTGATTAGGATTGGAAATGTGCCAAGGTAGTTACTCTAGGGGTGTGTTGAGCAAGTTGATTTGCATCAGTCTGTAGCCTCATCTTCATTCACTATTTTTATGGGTATTATGTGCAACATTAGAATGCTGAATTGTGATTGATAATCGAGGGTTGATTTATAAGGGTTGTAATAAGTTGAGTTTGTAATAGATGTTAATGCTGTGTACTACCTTCAGTAGCAGTAGAACAAACAGTTGAATCAATTAGTGTAAGAAAAAGAACGGTAATAACTGTTACAAGAAAGATGTTGCTTGGTTTTGTTTGTTTTGTTATTTATGAGTAAAAGTCAAGTACTAGATACTATAGAAAAATGTAAATGAGATAAGTATTATAAGAGAAGTCACTGATCCATGTAAAGAAATATTTGTGTTATACAACCTTTCTAAAACTGAATCATTATTGTTATTATTATTGTGTGATATATCATAATGTATGTGTACTGTTCATACTATTCTTTTTATATATTACATTGTGGATTACAGGTATGGTAGGTTTATTCTTGTAAATTATTATTATTATTATTTTTTTTTTACTGATATTGAAGCTGAAGAAATTGTGATACATATCTATATTTAAGATGTTTATTTTTTGTATTTCTGTTTTATGTCATACAGAATCATCCCTTCAGATGTTGGGAAAATGGGTCTACAAATTAATCAAAGAAAAATTATTAAGGAAATTAATGGTTGAGTGGATAGAATTGTGAGAAATGTAAAATATAAATATGAATTGAAAATTGAAAAACTTAACAATGCAAGAGATATAACTGACATATTTCAAGTGAATGTCTATTTCATCTTGTGTTGTGAAAATATTTGTACTCATTAATACCTTTTTTTTATCCTGAATATCACTTATTTTTTCCTGAGAATCTTCATTGTGGTGCAGTCGCTTTTGGCTTAGGCATTGAAAGCATATTTTTCTTACGGTAAATTAACAAGTATAGGGTTGATTTTTTTCCTAAATGATACATTTAGCAAAACATAATGTGTTGTTACAACTTGGTAATACTGTTACAGAAGATGTCAGATTATTTGCATTATGAACTGTCCTTTGTCTTAAAGCTGTAATCATAATAATGCAATCTGTTATATCTGAATGATTTTCTCATTTGATGCCAGGGAATACTTCAGGAAGATTAAGTGAGTGGTTTTCACATCACTTACAAAGAGGGTGACTGTGGATCAACCGCTGTTAATCCAAGTGGTTGGAAAAAAAGCATATCATTCATAAGCTTTGTATATAGTGGGGTTACTTCCTCGGTTGGTAACTGTATTGGAGTTTTGTGTGTGTTCTTGTTGGAGATGTGTCTGAAGTGATTGTATATAATTATGGTAAGATATGTATGGTATTTATTGGCAAGTTATGGAAGGTATTGTCCATGGTTTAGGGTTGCTCTTCTTTTCTTCCTGTTTTCTTTTTCTTTTTGAAGAAATTGTTTTATTTTTTGCTGTTTCAAATGTTGGAAAAAGTATATGGAGATGCTTTAAATTTGTTTATATTTGTTAACTTTTATAGCACTCTCAGTTTTATTAACCTCTTACAGACAAGCATTGTAATATTACCCTTTGGATTTTATCAGCATGCTTAAAGCTTATAAGTTGTTAAATAAGTTATCAGAAGGCGTTATCAGGTACTAAAGCCCTCTCTTTAGTATTGTGCTAGATTCAGATGAGGAGGAGCCTGCCAGTCCGTCTCCTTTGCCCATTCACAGTTCCAAGGTACCTCAGTTATTCCTCATAAGAAGACAAAGACACTGGCTATAACGTTTGAGATGTATACATGCTAAGGTACACAGACGTACATTTTTGGAAGTATAATATAGATGTAGAGAATAACAAAAGGTAATATAAATACACTTTCAGTCATTTGTGTAGTATCTCCTATATGAACAAGAATTCATAGTTTCAGATGTGAGGAAAATGAGATGATGAGTATTTACACTTTATATATTTTTTGTCATTACTAACAGTTTTTAATTGAGAATTCTTAAAAAAAAACTGATTTACTCAATATATGCCTGTCTTTATGGGCTTAATAGTTTTCTCTTCTGTTTTCTTTTTCTTTTTGTATGGAGTCTTTGCCAGATATATTGAGTAAAATAATATTGTAAATGGTAATGCACTTCTTATTTTCAGGTTGTAATGATGAATTGTTAAGCAGGGAGATTCAGTAAATAGCAGGTCCATGAGTTTAGATAATTATCATTACTGTACATAATTGCAGATAGGACTTGATAATTAGGAAGAAGGTCCTTTGATGTGTATCATGGACTTGCTCTGTTTTTAAAATAGTAGTCTTTAATGCTATTGACATTAAAGGCTTTACATTCAGTTATTTATGATAATGAAATTATGTTGAGCTGATTTCTTTATATTGATTAAACATTTTATGCAATGTATCTAAAAGTTCATTCTTTTTAATTTTCATGAAGATATTGTTTGTCAAGTATTTATCTTGTTTCAATAAAATTTAAACCTGAAGAAACAGGAGTACAGACTTCAAATGATGAGGAAAGATTTTAAGATTTGTTTGAGGGGTTATTTGTCCTAAGATCCAAACCTATGATTTGCGGTGAGCTCTTTCATTTGCTGAATGATGTAACACTGCCATGGGGATTGAAAATATTTTTTAGATTATGTCAGAGCACTTTTTCCCCAAGTTTTTTGTAAGTAGAATTCAGTCAAAAGCACACTTGATACAAGAGGGTTAGCTTTCATAATTTATTGACATTACAGAGTAGAATTTCTGTTGCTAGAGATGTGGACATAGAATGGCCATTTGCCTTCTTTTCCTTCTGTCTACAGGTCACTGCCAACACATGCCATGAACATATATAATTGTCATAATTTTGTTTTTCTTCTGTTAATTCACAAGTTTGGTGACTGCTACATTCTTGATACTTGGACTGATAGTACATGGTAGTATTATATTGTTAAAAGTTGAAAATAATGCAGTTTGGTTTAACTTTCTCTGAGAACTATGATTCATAATGGAAAGAGATGGTATCACTGCAGAAAGCTACTGTTATGATCAACTTCAGGAATTCATTTCACTTCTTACTTATTCCTTCCAAACTGAAAGTACAACCACAGGAGAAATAACTCAGTTTGAACCAACAAAGTACACATTGATAGATATACGACAGGCCTTCTTTCCTTAGAAATTGCTTTCTGTTTGGAAGTTCCTCTTCATAGATAAATCTCTTCCTTTTAAAGCCTTTTTATTTTATCATGTGCAACTCACAAACCTAATGGTGCATAGTGAGAGTCAAGAAAGTGGTTCAAAGACTGGTAGTTCCCAGAGGTGCAAATGCAGAAAGATCTGTTTTGGGTTCCGAGTTATTTTGTTGGAAATCCAGACATGAATATTTTACTTTATTCCAGTAGTTTTTTAATACTTCCGTGTACCCACTGTAATTATATTCATCTATAAAGATATGTTATACTGGTAGTGGAATTACGAGCAGTTTCTTTCTTCTCCTTTATATTTCACGTTGGAATAACAAACAAATTTGTTTTAGCTATTGAATGTTTTATGTTACAAATATAAGTCACAGAAGAAAATGGTGTTGAGAATGTGTAAATGATTAGTTTGATTTTTGTTGTTAATTGTTATCATTATGAAAGTTGTTTTTTTTCTTTGCCACAGTGACAAGAAGACAATCAAATTTAGCATCTTGAAAACATACCATGAATTGAGGTCACTGTGACAAATATTGAAAAGGTATTGATGTAAATGGATGACTTCACAGTACAAGATGTTATTGCTGTATTTTGATTTAATCTTCATCAGAAATACAGATTTCTGATGAAAATTTGCTCAAAACATATCATGTACATTTCTGTGTTATGAAAATAATTCTCAGTTATACCTTTCTTCAAAACATTCTGTAGAAAGTACGATATGGATGTATGTATAGATTTGTGTGTTTGTGTGTGTGCATATGCGTGTGTGTGCGTATGTTTGTGCGTTTGGGTGTGGGTGGGTGTGTGTGCATATGTGATATTTAGAATATTTAGTTTCTTTCTCTATTTATTCTTAATTTTTTTCTTCCGTTCTATTGTTTGATTTTGCTTTCTTTTTCTTTTTTTCTGTTGTTGCAAACCTTTTTCAACTGCAGATTCATTGTGATAGTTGATTTGTTTGTTTATGATTATAAAGAATTTGGTTAGAGAAAACTGTGAAGGAAAAAAATAATCCTTTGGGTTATAGAAAGTGATGTATATGCTAGTCTTCCTGGTTAGGGACAAAAGAATGTATACAGGTTACACTAAGTAGCATAATTTTAGGGCTGCAAAAGAAGAGGAATGGCACATAAAGATGGAATTGGTAAGTTTTAACTTGGTAATTCAACCAAGAGGCCATTGGAAGCAAAGTCTGAGCATACCAGATCTGTTCACGCATGGCCAAAATTTAGCCTGAGTGAAGCATTAGTTAACAAGACCTTCGAAGGATGAGTGCATTGTTGTTATTCTTCATTGAGGCTATACAAATGTGTTTGCAGTGGGACTTTTTAATATACTTATTGATTCATATATATTGATGAGTATACTTTTCTTTAACCCCTTGGTGCCGGGTATGACGTGTACGTACGTGCTATGCCCACAGTGAGTACTTGTTTGATTGATTTTACTCATAGATGGCAACACTTGTACTAACTCCCCAATGAGCCAGTTACGAGCACCGCCCGTCTCGCCCATTTACCCGTTTCTTTGATTTACAAAATATTTTACGTAATCTTATTTTGCTGTTACTAATGTTAAAAAAAATTATAAAAATCATAATGTTTATGATAAAAATAACATCATCGATTTTCATAGCACTAGTGAAAAATACGTTTTTCCCGCCATTTAAATCAGGCGCTAGCAGAGCCATCTATCGGCAGACATTTCACGAAAAACATAGAAAGTGGGCACAATATTTTCCCCATTTTTTGTTCATTTTCCCCGGCACCATTGGGTTAATAATAATAAAAATAATAATGATAATGATAATGATTAAAGTGTTATAGATTTCCAGAAAAAGAAGGGGATGTGGAGTTGCATCCATGAATGAGTTTTCACTCATTTTGAAGCGAATTGTGATGCTGCAGATAAACTTTAGGTATACTTAGACTTTGCTTCAAAGGCATTTGGCTAAAAAAAAAAGAAAAAGAATTTATGTCTAGCCATATCACTACCTATGCTGTAAATTAGGAAATGCTAGATTTAAGAATAATAAAAGGTAGCCTAATGTCAATATAGGTGGCTCTGTGTGTTTATTTCTTTTCTTATTTCAAAATGGTATTTCTACTTTTATATAGATATTGCACTGTGTTATGTTGTTTTGTCTTATGAGGTTTATTAAAATTAAAACCCGAACAAGAATATGTTTCCTTTTGTACTTGTGTCACTGTTTTCATTTTCTAAAAGCAGCTCTTCTGATTCTGGTGCTCCTGTCATGTGCAATTTTTGTGTTGTATTTCCTTGCCCTTATTTATGCAAATCTGGAGATATAAGTTTGTATGCTTTGAGAGTGTCAGGGTTATTAATGTATTTCTTTATCAATAAGAATTGTTGTTAAGATTTCTTTGAATATCCTAAAGGTTTTGTTGTTTTTGCTCTCTTCAAAAGCTTCAAGCCTTTCCTTCGAAGAGGCGGATGCTTAGACAGGACCATTGCTTCATCCACTCATTGCTTCCAACCTCTGCCTTGCTAAGCTGCCAGACAGAGCTAATGCCATGCCCATATGACCCATGAGGTCATTCCACAGACTTCTTCCATCTGGGATTGTCTAGAAGAAATAGCCTGCAGGGTGGAAGTCTTTTTAGCCTGAGTTAGCGATATCAAATTGTCTCGCTGTTGACTGGACAAGTTGTCATGTCAACTATACTTGATCTTGCTTAAGGATGTATTGCAAAATTGATATTATTACAATAATGGTAGTAATTATAATAGTTTTTATTATTTAGGCACTGGGACCACAAACCCTGTTAATGATAGTAGTTGAAACAACCTGAAACAAACTTAAAATACTTGGCCCAATGAACTCCTACCCCATCAAGATCTGAGATAATCTGGCCATCTGTCAAATGGATAAGGCACCTATGGAGAGCCTCCCACTTATTTTCGTTCAGACATTGGTGGCATAGTGAGATTCACCTAAGCTCAGCTCCTTCCCCTATCTCAACAGCAACAGCCTGATATCAGTACAACTCCCAGCCTCTATGAATGAACTTATCCTGAGACATGAGGAATTTTGCTTTGTGCTGTGTCATAATGAATCTGTCAACAAAAAAATGACTACAGTGAAAAGAAGAAAGGCTATAGGTTATTAAAAATATATATATAATTATATTTTTATTTTTGCTAAAATATGAAGCATCTTTTTATTCATTTATTTTTGTCTATATCAGTACAAAAAAGTCTGCCATGAATATTAGGCTCCATTAAAAAAAAAGATAATAATAAAAAATAAAAAATGAAAAATAAAAATAAAATACAATGCATGCATTGGATATTTATGTTACACAGATTCCTTCATTCTGGCGAAACAGAAAGTAGCCCCAATTCACTATATGCAGTTATGTCAAGCGTTCATTGAAAATCATGCTTTTATCTGAGAATGTGTAAACACTTCATTTCTTTTTCTGTGTTACACTGCAGATCTCCATGGTTGTCTTCAGGCTATATATATTTTTTTTACTAAATATCGCTAGCAGTAGTAAGAAGTATTACTTACAAGAGATTTCAAGATTACACATTTTGTAACTTGGGTGCAAGGCACTGAGAACTGAACAAGAAGCAAAACTAAAAATAGTAGCACAGTTTAACTCGATGCCAACGGGCAGGGCATGTATGTAGAACTGTGAGTTTACTTTATCGATTGTTTTTACACATAGATGGCTACACTTGTACTCAGTCAACAATGAGCCAATTATGTCTCGCCTGTTTACCCTTTTCCTTGATTTACGGAAATATTTTACGTTATCTTATTTTGCTGTTACTAATGTTTATAAAATTATAGTAATCATAATTTCTATAATAAAAATAACACCATTGATATTCATAGCATTGGTAAAAAACACGTTTTTCCCGCCAAATCAAGGAAAAGTAAAATTAGGTAAGGTCACCAGGTCTATTAACTGACTCCTTTGTGGCTAAGCACTAACAGAGTCATCTATGTGCAGAGACATTTCATAAAAAAAAAAAAAAAAAAGCACAGCATTTTTTCCCATTTTTTATACATTTTCCCCGGCAGCATGTGGTTAACAATTACGACCTCAATGTGTAAAGAAAACAAAAAAATCCTTGCTTATGGAGTATATACAGCAACAAGTGGTGATTTATAGACTTCATTGATTTGTGCAGGTTATATCAATAGCAATAATAATGATGATAATAAATTCAACCCTACATTCACTTCTCAACAGATCACAGTATTACATAAGGAAGACTCTTTCAGCTGCAAGTAACATATCTTAAAATCGGGCCAATGGAGACTTAGTCTAGTATAACTTTGGAATAGTGACAAGATTTTTTTTTTTTCTTTGCAAATGTCTCCAACTTTGTGCCTGTTGTCAACTAGTGTTTCCTGTGATACCAAATGAGAAATACTTATTGTATGTCATTATTCTTTTAGCTATTATCAATATTTTTTAAGAGGGTTCCCCAGTCTTGTTACAGGTGACTTCATGATGTCTGTCACACAGAGAAGTTAGATTAAATATGTCATCCAAGGTTCATTCAAATTAAAGAGGGAAAGCTCAAAAACATTCATTATAAATATACTATGATGTGTTCAGAAATACTGAGATCCACTTACAGTA